AACAACAACTCACAGGAGGCTGTGTAACGAGCCTCAAGCAAACGTCCCACGTGCTCTCCGGTCAAACAAATCGTTTTCTGTTTCACTTACCTTAAAGAGAAATAGCCTTCTATGATGTGGGAAGTCGGGAAGTGTTAACCACCTGTACGCTTCCAGTAGTACACAAAACCCAATTAAAGATGGTACGTCTTCTTCAACTCTGTCTTCTGTCTTGCTATCACCTTGTGATACTAATCTTAGGCTTCTAACGTCTAACCTAACTGCTAACTGCAACCACTGTCAACAATCAAGGCCATTCAAACCTCCGCCTAGTCTCCCTAGACACCGCTATCGACTTTATGTTGGAGCTTTCAGCGTCCAGTTTTTGTGCCAAACCTGACACCAAGCATCGGTGGACAAAAATTAAGGATCTCTAGCCATGGATGTATGCCGTGTCTCTGAGACACGTACACAGGATTCGGGTGTGGTTATTAGATTGACCTCACCTGGCCATAGTATTTAATCTTCAAAATTCAGCTTACGTGTATACGGAGACCCAGTAGCTAGCCCTCGTGGACTCGCTAATGCAGACAAAGCATCAAGTTGTAGAGCGGAAAGTGTGCTTCTCAGGTAGATACCAATTAACAGCCACCTATGTGCTCTTCAGCTGAATGGATCAAAAAGGACTAAGAAGGATCGTGAAACCAGACGACGTGAATTTGTAATCGCCTAAGCACCCACCAACTGTAGTTCGGATGCTAAAAAGGATGAATTCTATGAGCTGTCAACCTTGCTACAGAAAACAAAACGTTCAGATGTGGTGATAAGAGCAGGTGACTTTAATGTCCAAGTAGGAAATCTGAGTCAACTAGGAAGACATCTTGGGGGTATCCACGAATCATGTCCTAACGAACCAACAACGGTGATCGTCTGTTGAAATTTCGTCCCGACAATCACTTGTCTCCGGTTAGCACTACCTTTAAGCATAAGGAGAGAGATAACATTCACATGGAGTTCACCGACTTCAAACTAAGGATGCACACAGATGGATCCCATTGCCGTAGGTCATCGTTAGAGGATTGCCACATTTTTTAAAGTACCACTTTGGACTCCGGTCACGCGCTAGTATGAGCTCGTGCATGTCTGCACCTTACTGGCCGCTAGAAACAGATGATAGTAAAGCCCATCTACAATCTATTTGAAAATGAGAATGTCAAATACGCATTTAAGGAAGAGATAGCTAAGTAATTATGTGAACGCGATAGTCATGCTCATCCTGGGTAACCTGGCATGATATTAGGTCGGCCGTAGAAAGGTAAAGGCAATTATTGGTAACCTACACCCGAATGTAAACAAACGCCATTGGACCGGACTATGACCGGACTTCAGTCAGTGAAGTCCCTAGCTGGTAGTCTGAGCTCCGTTAGATGTTTACTGCTTGGATCAGGTCCCTGAGACAAAAGAGATCAGTGGTTAGGGACTCTTGATGACATAGCTGAAGGTTAACAAACGAACTGACTGATGCAAGAAGACTGATTTCAGCTGGCTCTGATCAGGATGAAGAGCAAGAGTAACTCAAACTTAAGTTAACCAAGCGTCTTCGCAATGATTACGAGCGGTAGTGGATGGCAAAAGCAAGAGATGGAGAATGCATCAGCGTCGGGTAACACTTGACAACTATCTAGGCTTATTAAGAATGCCGGCAAGAAGACGATGGTGAGTTAAACCATAACCGAAAAGGATGAGACGCTGACAACCCTTCAGGACAGGTGGCTAGAACTTTGGAGAGAACAATTCGAAGCACAGTTCAACTGGCCCTCGGCAATGCTTCAGTCACCCAGCCTGAACCTGAATGGCACGTAGATGTCAGTCCACCAACTCTCCATGAAGTTGAGAAAGTTGTATCAAACCTAAAACGATGTGTTGAGCAGAAATCTGAGTATGTTTCACATGCATTTTGCATATATCAAATGTAATATGATGCTCCAGGGCTGATTTGCAACTACATCCAGTTTAATGACAGGGAGTGAAGTGGTGGGATGTATCAACTACTTCACTTACTTGGGGAGTTGCACCAGCCCGAACGGGTTGGTTGCTGACAGAATCTCAGCTTGAATACAGAGAGCCTTTCTGGTATTTGCCAACTTGTGTCATCTCTGGAGACGACTGATGAGATATCTATCTACAGAAGGACAAGTATACTGTGCTGCACTTCGTTCCGTCCAGTTGTACGACTGAGACATGGCCGTTAAAAGTAAACATGAAGCGACTACAGGGTTTCGATTACAGACGTCATTGCAGAATTGCTCGCGTTTGATAGATTCACTGTGTGACCAGTGAGGTCAGGAGAAAGGTGCTAAGTAAGACAGTTAAGTCAGTTGACGAGGTTGTGGACCTTCATCAACTGAGACGGTTCGCACTGTGCATGCTGCCACCGCCTACCTTGATGTTTTATCCTGGGAGAAGCTGGGTTAGGTTGGAGGGTTCAGGGTGGTCAGACCAAGACCTGACACCAATCGATGAAGTCCCTTACTTTTGGTCTGAGTCGTGTGGAGAGACTGTCTGCATGGAGTCACCGAGATGAAAGGAATCGGCGGTTGAGGTCTCTTGGTGGCATCTATCGAAATAATCGGTCACAATGGCGCAGATGTGTTTACTCCTTGACATTTAAATATTTACACTAACCGTCTTCAGATTTTATTCTCTGACACGACTTTGTCTACTTTGGTATCACTTTTTCTAACATGTTCTTTGTGTACTACCGTGAAATGTGGCGAACTGAGTCGATGCACTTGTGTGCGGTGTCAAACAGTCACATATGTGCCTTTACATATCTTGGTTAGTCCCACGTAGACCTACCGACTGTCCTCTGTGGATAAGTAAGGGGGCTAAAAAAGTACTGCCGAAGACTTTGGAACCTGGTTATCCCTACCGGTTTTCATTAGTTCAGAATAAGGTATTCTGAGGTCAGAAACTCTTGCAAGAGCCTAACAAAATAAAAGTTAATAGACCAGAAGTAGCTAGTTCAGCATACCCATTGGCATCCTAAGACGCCATACTCTTACATTAAGATAACTGAAGATAATGAGAGTGTCCCAGAAGTAATGTTGGGTGAAGATTCGATTCATGTAACTGGTGGTAATATAAGGCTCTATCATAGTACTTCTGGGAAATATTCTCTAAAGGTTGGACTCAGTGCCCGGAAGCTGTTTTCCATGGTAACATCCAACAAATGGAACTAATACTCATTGACGCGGTTGTGAAAATTCATCGACTGAGATGGTTGGAACATATGTTACGTACGTCTAGTCGCCGTCTTGCTCGTCACACAATGTTGCCCGAAGTAGGTCTCGGCTGGGAAAAGGTTCCAGGCGACCATACTAAAACACAGCACGAATGTATGAAGTGCTTGATTGTTGGTTTGAGCCACGTGGGTTGACGTAGACTAGCCAGTCAGGTCCGCGAGACGAGACGAACCAGCGGTTGGAAACTATAGGTGACATGGCTCAGAACCAATGTCAGCGACGCAGATGTATACACACATTATCCTCAACTTAACGTCATACCGAATCTCTCCATTTTCTCAATCTTTATTTATGTCTTTTAGTACCTCATATTTCCTTTGACAGAAGTTTCTTTTCTTCAATTTCAGCTTCACTGCCCTAATACTTGATGCACTGATATGAGCTGTGGCAACTCCGACCGCTACGCAGTAATGCTGATTTGGATAGATAGAATATACAATGAGATTATCTAATAAATAATCCAGAAACAATGCGATTGTCCTGTGGTCCACATGAGCTACATATACGCATACTATCAGCGGTAGCGGATACTCTCACCGAACCTCTACTTGGGCTGCTTAATATCACTAAATGTCACCATTGGTGCGGTCCATGAAATTGGCTACAGAAGTGGTTGTTGTTCGGTTAGTTTAACTAGCTGGGCGGTAGAGCTTTTGAAAAAGATTACGCGCAATGCAATTTTAATGCATGTCAGTGGAAACAGGCTTTCTGCTACAGAACAGCATGTGTTAGGACACGAAGCATGTTTATCAAATCGTATCACTGCAGGAGATTAGTCTGTTACCAGTGATATGAATGTTTGAGCTGTTATGATGCTCACACAAAACAATGCTTTCGAAAACGTCTCGCCACTAGGCCCACAAAAGAAGCTGAGAATCTATGAGATTGATGTAGTTAGGAGCTGGATGAAATCTTTGTGATATAGGGCAGAGTGAGGGTAAACGCAGTTGCAGCCGAATCTAAGGACTTAGGATAGTTGTTCATGATCCTAGCGAACCACCAAAATGAAGTGACTATTGTTACAGGTTTTCAAATCTCGTGATTCTTGCGAAAAGTCTTTCAGCCTTGATGAGAATATGATTCGTATCTTATACTTAACATATATAGGATCCCACTTGAAGCACGGAGTTCAAGCAACAAGATCGCACTGCAAATATGAAGCCAATATATTAAAGCAGATTCAGAAGGTAGGAACTACGATGGCTAGAAGGATCACTAGTTTCATTCCACCCCTCATAAACTGTCGATCTCACAGGATATACTCAAGAGTTCACAAAATCATCGTCGAGTCATCTACGTTTCTCGCAGAGTTGTGAATTGCCCGAAGGTTACCATCCGTTGACACTTTGCTAGCAGGACTAGATCTCTACAATACGACCACCAGCAAGGATAAATAGGGGTCGTAGCCTATTACCATTATTCCTGAATATCCTCTTGAGTTTGGACTCATGGTAGTGGAGACCTTTGCTTGATGGGTCAAAAACTTACCAATGCTTCTAAAACGCAGTTCATTTAGCATAGAAATGTGAAAGAGAGTTATTACAGACACATAAGTATCTCATTTTTTATAGTGCAGTACTATATGCGCTTGAGCCGTAGCGTTTGGTGAGTTAACTTAGTATCATTTTCAAAGAAAGCTGGGTAGATAAAAAGCAAAAAACATTTTCATGATATACAAGCCACCAAAAGATGGTCAGAACATGTTTACGAACCAACCTGGAATAAAACCACAAATTTTCTGCAAACTCATTAGCATTTAAAAGACGAGCGATATCTATGCACTCACTTAAACAATATGGAACCATCAAATGAGGCAGTTACACCTGAAATATCTCAGTTACAATATTTCTTTCTATCAAAGATGTAATTAAATTATCTATACATGTGATTGAGGATGTCAGTTTTCACCAGGCATAGTCGCCTTCATCGTATTGGTTGAAAATACTCCGACAGTTTATACGGTTTCACATCATTATCATGCAGTAGGCTGGTAACGAAGTTTTGAAACAAGACGCGAATTATTTTGCCAGAAATGATATTTCTTAAAGGATAACCCATCTCAAACGGATTTAGTATTAGAAACGCCTATGTCTGGAAAGGAAGTTGGAACTCATATTGCTCTCAACGGTGCAGTGGAAAGAACACAGCCGGAAGATAGTGGTGAAGTGTACGATAAACTCCGCTTGGCTCAAGATGTTATCAAATGTCTTTCTGAACGATGTGAAGAACTAGAAAATTTAAGCGAATATCTTCCATTTGTACGGAAGGAAATTCGTGGTCAGATCGATCAAAGCATGCAAATGATTCAAAGATCAGTGAGCGAACGACATGACTATCTTTTGAATGAGCTTGATTCCTGTTTAAGCTTAAGAAATGAGGCCATAAGTAAGTTGCATTCTGAGTTTGAAATGAGACTTCAAAGACTTTCTTCACATGTTGACCTTCTGAAAAGACTCACACAATCACATTCAAATGACGAAGCAACTCATCAGACACAAAAATTAAATCAGAATATGGTTTCTAGAGATCTCGCCGCACAAAAGCATAAAGCTGAAATTGAAAAGCTGATTGCTGCTCCATTGCCTTTACACCCTTCGGAATCAGATACAATGTCATTTTTCCCCACAGATTTGGATCAGCTTTTAAGCATGGTCAAATGTGTTGGATCTCTTGGTTTGACCGGAGTTGATGCTCAAAATACTAGCTTATCAGATAGCTACTTGGACCAGTTTGTTCCAGTTAGGCGTTGCCAAACAAATGAAGAAGTCAAGATAGATATTCTTGCAAACGACAGACTGGGTCGTGCAGTGGCAAATGCTTCCTGTAAAGAATTTTCCGTCCTCTTAACTCAGAGATGTACCAGTGAGATTGAAGTTGGTGTCCAAGAAAAACACATGTCTGATAGCAGTCTTAATCTTTCAAATAATAGCAATGGGAATGGAAATCAAGAAAACACTTTGCAAATAGTTTATAAAATTTCTCAACCAGGTTTATACGACTTGAGCATAAAATTGTTTGGCGAACATATAAAGGGGTCCCCTTACTCAATTGTTGCTGATGCGCCCATAAAACCAAGTTTACAAGAGATAGCTGACACAATGAAGGAGATAAGTGAATTACCTCACCGTAAGCAGTGCAAAAAGCGATCAAAAAGACGTTGTCAATCAGCACCTGTTTATTATAAATTACTGGATCAACCAACTGCATTAGCTGATTTACATAAAATGGAAAGAGGTGACTTTTTGTACTCTGTTGGAACCAAAGGACGTGGTAGCGGTGAATTTGCAAACCCCGCTGGAATATGTGTAACCAGAGAAAATAAAATACTGGTCGTTGATAGTAATAATGCACTTGTTCAAGTAAGTTAATTGCTTTTCAGAAATAATATTCGTACTATTTATCTGCTCAAGAAATTTGATATGGTTTTTCATTATGTACCAATTTTATTTTTAAAAATGATGTCGTATTCTGTATTCTCTGTGGGGTCGTAATCTTAGAAACTATGCACGCTGACAAAGTAAGGCAGAGAAATAAATTGCGAAAGGATAAGCTAACTCAAGGGAAGCGTTCAACAACGATTTAACTGTTCACTATCACTAAAACTTATTTTCTTTCTAAAATTACAGTTCAAAGGACTTTCTAAAAACTTTGGATTTATCAATGGAAAAATGTTGATTGAATGTAATTTCTCAGTGTACCTTGAAGTAAATTTCTAGAAAATCAATTTAGAAATAGTATCAATATGCCGTAGTTCTGTGTTTGTCATGTAAATCAGAAGTTATTTGAATTCTACATTGAAGAATTATTGCATTTGGTAGGAAATTCGTATAGTTTGGATTATATTTTATCATAGACTTTGAATTACTGAAATATTAAGCCACTTGGGAAATTATTCCTGACTATTTTTGGTAATCAATGAATTCGTTCAATCCATCTTTTCAAAAAAAAAAAATGCGTACACTTTTGCGAATAAGATGCAGTGTGCATAAAGTAAGGCATGGTAAAATATTCACAAATCACTCTTCATCATATAACAACACCAGTGCGGAGCAGTTTCTTTGTTCTGCATAGTAATCGAGAATTTAGAATTTTAACAAAGTATTTTGGTAATCAATACGATGGCGCTTATCTTCTTAGCCAAGCATCTATTAGTGTTTCAAAACATGTGAAAAACCTTTTCTGGTACTTCTTTTTCTGTTGAAATGGAATTGTGATAATAGTCGACTTTCGATTAATATAGGAGTAAAACTTAAACACTGTGGCAGATTGTAATTGCATCTTTGTTTATTAGATGTGTCATAAGAGTGAAACATCATTATTTACCGAGTAACATTTCCGACATAACTTATTGCCCATATTCATATGAAGGAAATTTACAGCTTTAAGACATAGATACTACAGATCTAATTCTCTCTTCTGCTTTATGATAAGAGTAGTAACATTTCTCATATATCTGGAACAGGTGCAGAATTTTTCCTAATGGATGTATTTGGTATTGATTCGATAAACAAAGAGTCGGTTGTCAATTTCTCTCTCCACCCAACTAAGTTGGCTCTGTTCCACTCCACTTTTTGACTGGGTGGAATCACATGCTCAGCTACAGCCGAGCTTTTCTCTAGATAGCTCATCTTATTAGGATCCACAAATGTCGATTTAGTTAAATTTTTGTGCTCGGACAGCCTAAGTGAGCTCGATCGATTACTATGACCTCTTACTTGACCACGTAGTCATCATAAGGAATTGTTAAACTAAACTATGTTGCCGAATTGGATCAGTACGATCTTTTAACCTACAAAACTTATTTTAGAGTTAGTTTGTAGGTTTGGATACCACTCCAATTCCAGCCTCATTAAGAATTCTCTATCGACCTGACATTCATACATAACACACTGTATCGAACCAACAAGGATTTATACACCATTTTGGGTAAAAAGCCTAGACATCAACAAAATGCCTGTCACAAACAGAGGAAAACTAAATTTGTTTTCTTCATTTAAATGACTGGATTTCTAAAATCTCAGTTTAAAGGTAAAAGCTGTAGGTGTATTTATTGCGAAGATACGAATGCATAACAAATAACAAATTTTAGCACACACACAGCTGGTTTTGTTGATTTTAGTTGTTGTCATTCATCAGTTTTTCAGAATAATACTATATTCATTAACCAACATTATTTTTAACCAATGAAGTGGAATGTCATCATTCCACTTAATATCAATCCATATTGCATTGGTTTAACCACATTTCCTCATACTAAAAGTCATTTTGTTTCAGCAGTCATACTAAACATATCAACATAAAAGAGTAATGACTGCATTGTAGAGGATCGTTTATTCGCTAAAGATAGCCTTAGTTATTGTTCCGACCGGATTATAAATGTAAGTAAAACGTTTTCGTATATACATGGAAAAAGTGATTTCAGCCCCTTAGTTCAGTTGATCTTTTACTATCAATCGTACTAATGTGTTCGAGTAAGAAAAGTTCTGAAGATACTATTTGTTGTTCGATTTTGAAAGTCATTTGGCAGGAAACCTTGGATCTAGATCTCCTGTTTCCTAGCACTCATTTGCGGGGAATGTCTGCAACCATGAGGAAACCCTTGTCCTATTACTGATTCAAATCTGTCGCTCAGTTCTGAAGTCAGAAAGTTAATCACTTAGCTATTCAGATCACGACTGACTTCGCTTAGTCGCCACGCTACAACAAGACTTGATCGACAAACTTCAGTCACTCCTAGGCACTAAGGACTAGACAGCTGCATTGGTCACTCACTGGTGACTAAGTTGTACACATAGTTTTTCGCTTACTATGAAATAAAAAGTTATATCCTAGACAACTGCTTTCATCGTTATTGTTGACCATCGTTTCAATAAATTTGTTCTCCATGATCTGAAAATATATTTGTGATGCTGATAAATAGCCACCAATATATTTATGCTATCACTAGTAGTTTTAACCACATAGTTGATCTTAGGTATGAAAGCTTATGAAGTTATGAAGCTTGAAATTCTGAAAGACATCCTCGTGAAATGCATTTTATTGCTTGTTGAAATGATATGAATGATTCCCTTCGAATAAGTACATTATTACAGATGACTGAATTCTGTCTATTGCAAAGATAAGGGCGTAAGTACTGTTTCCACTAACAGTAGGAATTCAAATGAAGTGCTTGATACATTTTTGGGAATATTTCAAGTATATTGGCCTTATTTATGATTACCAACTAACACATATGCTAGGTTTCATTCTAATCATTTTCATTTGCTTTCTGCTGATTACAATAATTTATGTTACTTATTCACAAACTAATAGTCCTTTGAGAAAAGGTAACTGTATGTGATACTCATTTCACATGTAACAGTTTATGAGTGAAATTCGCACAAACTTTTACCATTATTGGTTAACTAGAAAAAATTAACAATTTAGGGCAATAGTTGAATATTGTACTTCATTGTCAAGTATAAGTCTCTTACGAATATCATGCAAAATGAATAAATGCCAAAAATGAATATTTCAGGAATGAATATATCACTGAGCGTAATCTCCATTTCACTAATGACAGCAATGAAAATGTTATAATAGTTAACTTCAAATCCAGCTTCATCTATAACACACCCTAAATAGAATGGATATACTGTTTTACATGAACTTACAATTCTTCACTGACTGTAATATCGTCATAAATGCACTAGTTTCTTTTCTAATTGAAATAAATCTATTTTTACATGACTGCTGTACTTTCAAAAGCTGAACAAATTTTCAGAGTTTCATGTGATTTCCTTTGTTTTATGCAAATTATTTCACCAACTCATTCAAATTATTTATATCCGGTAAAGTATTTGTGCAGCACAGTTAAATTACTGAAGATTGGATTAGCTTTCTTTAGAGTTACTGTACATCAACAACTTTCTGCCTAATCACCCCATTAACTACACTAAACATTGAGCTTCTTTCCTAATAGAATCAACCGTATTAATCGTAACTGTGTTCAAATATACACAGGCGAAGTAGTAAGGAAAAATATAAAGAGTGTAATTTAATTAACCGTGACAAACATTGAAATCCAGGATATCTGTTTCGGTCTATTTAGAACTCATAGGATGGGTGTACCTACATCCAACTGGTTGGTGATGTTCCCTCCGAGGCTCGAGTTCAACACCTGTCGCTACAACCACCAGAGAATTATGCGCTAGTTCACTCAGTCAAACCACTCACTTCTTGTGCAACGGGCGTCACTTTTTACTGATGATGCTTGTAATTCCCTGTTGATCACTAGACTAGACAAAACTAATCGATCTGTGTTGATCTACAGGCTCTTCTATGGGAAATTACAGGTATCGATAAGTAGTTAGAAGTGGTTGAACTTAGCGAGATAGTTTGACATGTGTGAAGACCATGCATTAAAACATTCAGTCTTCTAGTGATTTCGTTTCGCTGTTGTGAATCGAAGCTACGAATGCAAACCCGCAACGTTTATTCCGGCTATTATCTGCCATGAAACATGAATATTTTGTTGTTTTAGTAAAAATAAAATTGACAGATGTCATGCAGTGAGTTTTACTCATAGTAAAATGTGACGCTAGTGACCAATTAACACTGAACTTTCAAAATATGGTGTCACAGAATTCGGTGTTATATATACTGTTGCAAATTTCTACAAATCTCGCTTCCCTGGAAATGCAATTCATTAAAAGTTAATTAAAAACCAGTTTTATGACCTAAGTAACTAAAAGAATTAACATACAGATAAACGGTGATTTTAGTGTTGTTGTTAATTATTCTGAATACCACCAGTAATCAGTAGAATAATGAATTATTCCTCTCTGTTCTATCTGTCTATTGGGCTAGTATGTCGATATACTTTATCACTGTTGATATTTCTTTTTCGAGTAGCTATAGTACTAGAGATGAATACTGTACAGCCGAAATACAAACTACTAACATCCAAGTCTCGATAAGCTCTGTATATATCCATTTCTGAAGTCATTTTTCTACCATTGCAGTCTTGATTGATAAATTTTCCTGTAAAATATTTCAAAAGTCATCAAATGCTAAAAATCTGTGACGTTGACGTAGAAATCCACATGTGCGTGAGAAACTTAAGAATGTAGTACTTTAGCATTCTTTTTATCAGGATTGAAAATGCTTACATCGCTTGTGGTAAAAAACCTTTCTCGATTCGTCAGCTAGATCTCAGTCAAAATTTTTATCCGTGTCTATTTGTAAAAACGCAGTTTTTTGGAAGAAAGTAAAGTCTTTCTTTGGATTTTATTATGATTGATATAGTAAGAGTCTGTGAGGAAAAAACTAAAGTGACGTAAATATGTACTTCTCCAATGTTGTTTAATTTTGCATCGAA